TTTATATCCGTTCTCACTGTTTGATGGCCTTAAGCTCCAAAACCAAGACCAAACTCACTGCCATCAAGTTGATTCCAACTCACAGCAAGCCCTATTGGGTTTCCAAGGCTGTTAATCTTTACAGAAGCAGACTGCCTCATCTTTCTTCCATGGAGCAGCTGGTGGGTTAGAACTGCTGACTTTTTGGTTAGCAGCCAAATACCTTAACCACACCATCTGAGCTCCTTGGCCATAAGCTCAGGAGAGGAAAATAGATATTCATTTCTCAGCCATATCTCTGTATCCTATTGTAAGTTTTGTTGAATGCGTGTTGAAATCATTGAAATACAAAGAGAACCACATTTCCCAAACCACAAGTTATGACTGCAAGCTTGGGTCTGTTTGAACTCTATCCCAAATCTTATCTCTAATAGGAAAGTACTTGGAGAGTGGCAAGAATCAAGCTGACTTAGCTAACAACATGGAGAAATAAGTTCCGTGGAGAAAATTAAAGCCATACAATACTAGAATTAGATCTTCCTATCATCTTAAAGATGAGGAAACTGAGGCCTAGAGAACTTGTCATAACTTACCTAAATTAGTGCAGTATTTTTCCAACCTAATATGCTTCCAAGGTACAAATCCTTAAGAGCCCTTTTCCCTTAATACTTTCTTCAGTCTCCTTAATCTATCGGTGCTGTGTTCCTGGGGCATTGCCTCTAAAATATTGAAATCTCTCTGTACCCATTGAGGAAGCTACAAAGAGCAGGGACCAGCCAGTTTACTTCTGAATCCTACATTGTGGCTTAGGAGCTCTGGTAGCATAGTGCCTAAGGCACTTGACTGCTAACCAGAAGGATGGCGGTTCAAACCCACCAGCCACTCCTTGGAAGGAAGTTTGAGCAATCTACTTCAGTAGTGATACTGCCTCAGAACCCAAGGAGGGGTCACTATGAGTTGGGTCTGACTCGATGGCACAACATTGTGGCTTACCTAGTGCTTTACGTTTAGCAGTCGTTTCATCTGTATTTTCCTTTTGACTGTTGTTGTGTTGTTACTCCTTGTGAGTAAGCCCAGATTAAAAAACCGAAACCAATCCAGTTGCTTTTGAGTGGATTTCGACTCATACCTCATGAGGTTTAAAGTAGAAGTGTTCTTACTCCAGAGTATTTTTAGGGGCTAATTTGTCAGAAGTAGATTGCCAGGCCTTTGTTCCGTAGTACCTCAGTGTGGATTTAAAAGTCCAACCATGGTACCTCTATGTGGATTTAAAAGTCCAGCCTTTGGCTACTAACCCAGGGATTCCTAGCCCTGGATGACGGG